AGTAAAGTAAAAATATCAGAAAAATCTACTTGAGTACAGTAATGAAGTATTTGTACTTCGTTACTTCCCATCTCTGAATTTAATATATTGAATCTATATAAGGAAGCCCTGCCCAGGTTCATCGTCCTTTATAATTCATGTTTTGTTCTAAAGCAAATGGTTCTCCAGTTAAGAAAAATAAAAAAGATGACTTTACACCTACGACTGTCAAATATTTGGAAGACTGGAAAGATATAAATAACCAAATGGAGCAGTTTTTAAAGTGTTCTAAGACTAAAGATTCTTTATCCAATGCAACACCGTAGAGTTTGGGTTGCCATTCATTTCACAGCATGTAAGAGCAGAAAACTTCGGTTTTGTTGAAATTGGTGCAATAAAGTAGAGCTAAAAGTGCAATCTAAAGAGTCAAAGATTGCTTTAGTAGTTCCAAGAATCGGTCTTAGCGTCTGTTATTCCATGTTCTGTAGAACTGGGAGGAAAGGATACCAACTGCTGTAGTAAGGGAATGTGCTGCAGAGCGGACGGAGCAGAGGCACGGGGTGTCTCAGTGTGCAGAGCCTGAAAAGATGTGTGCTTCTCCATTTTCACCACTAAATGCGCGTTAGAAAAGTCTCTTATCCAGGAAAACAATCAGAGCTACAGAATCAGCTTGTAAGGATTGGTGAGGAAGATGAAGTCATGTAAACAGCATCTAATTAATGGTGCTGCAGATAGGATGTGGCTGTGGGAAGAATCACGTCCCACATCCTCTGCAGATCTAAATGCACCAGAGAATCACTATTGCTCTAATATGTGACTCTGATATAGCATTATATCCCAAAATGTCTCATAAGAGTTCCCATTAAATAATAAAGGATGAATTAAAACAAATTTAGTTAAAAATATGATCACTTCTCTCTATATATTTAAATAAATATAGCTTAAAGTAATTAAGTATTAAGTTAACTTAAGTATTTGTAAGGGGTCACCATTCAGTTGCATAATGTTAGCGGTCATGGGTTGAAAATTTTGGGTACGTTAAAAACCTTTGCAGGAATCCTGTTAGATTTTTTTTTCCCCCTCTCTTAACCTAGTAAAATTAATACAATATGACAATTTTTTACTTGTGATAAGAAACAACCGTTAGTTATATTAAAACCTGTAGTTTTATCTTTGATTTTGACCGCATGATTTTTATGGTTGATTTTTATCTTTGATTTTATTTGCACTGTGTAGCACTTTGAGATTTTTGTTAATGACCACATGATTTTTATGGTTGATTTTTATCTTTGATTTTATTTGCACTGTGTAGCACTTTGAGATTTTTCTTAATGAAAAGTGCGGTACAAATTGGATTTATTATTATTATTATTAGTTATATTTAACCCTTTTGTCAGTGTAAAAAAAAATCCCTGACTTGAGGCGTAATTATGAAAAAAGATGATCCCATTTAGGAAAACTAGATAAATGTTGGCCTTAATTATCTGCTAAAAAAAAAAAAAAAGTTATGTAACTGAACTTGAATATTTTTACCGTTTGGTCATTAAAAACTTTAAACCTAAAAAAGGAAGAAGGGGAAAGTATTTAGGCAACAATGGAGGGCGCTGCCATACTTAATCATTAACTTAAAGCTTTAAAGAAATGTAAATTAGTCCTTAAAAAATATTGGACAGAAAACAATAAAATAAAAAAATAAAAAAATGTTGAATACTTAATACCTCTTACAGTTTTGGAAAATGATAAAAGCAAAATCAAATTCTTTCCCAGATATTTAAAACCTGGACTGCTTGATATAGCGTGTGGAGAACAAAAAAAACAAGCACCTGCTCCTAATCCCCATGTTGGCAAATCAAAACATACTTTGCTGAGAACAGACGATAGATGGATGAAAAAAAAAACAAGATAAAAATAAATGCACACACTAAAACCAGAGCATCTACAAAAAGCAACACTTGACACCATGTAAGAAAAGGAGGAATTTATTGTTTACTGTCTATATACACTTTTGAACTAAATCAGAAAATATCAGCACAACATCATCACTGAAATTTGAAGTTTCACCTATGAACATGAAGATCGGATATCCATGGCAACACACCAAACATGGACAGGAGTGTTTAGACAATTTTGGTTCAACTTGACATCATCATCAACATAATCGGCATTATTCTCCCACTTCAGCTCCCATTTCTATTTTCCGCTACACCTCTATCCATGTTAAACAGTAGCAGCAACATTTCTGGGGTGCAGAGCCAATGAAAATGAAGAGACAAAAAAAAAAAAAAAAAACAAAGAAAATGAACCTGCAGGAGGAGAGGAAACCCTCTACCTCAGTGCAGAGGGCCCAGTGTTTGAGATGGCATGCAAAACAGGTATGGAACATGACACGTGGTTCAGGTGATGGCTTTGACAAACAAACTTAACGCCCTTGTGGACATAACAGTGCAGAGCCCATAGGTGACAAACATCAGTGTAATACTTTCATAGTCTTTTCTGCAGAAGTAGAAGGAAAACATGCAGTTTCACGCTGCGGCACGTCAGTCTGAGGTTCTTCACTACGATCCACATCTACCAGCATGTTGGACGCATTTCATCCATCCGCAGTTTCCTGGTAAAAGAGCCAGTGGCAGTATCAGAGGCTAACACAATGTCTGAATGTATTCCAGTGTCGAAATGAGAGGGAGATTGAGATGTCACCCCGAGTACAAAATGGGTAAATGCAAGGATTAAAAGATCAGTAGTACCACCAATGAGAGAAGTGGGAAAAAAAAAAAAAAAAATCAAACTCCAGCAATTATTAACATCAGTTAGCACAGTTATAAACCCTGCAGGCCTAAAACAAAATATCTGAAAGTACCGTCCAATCAGAATTCAGCGTCTTTCTGCGACACTGGAGCTGAGGCAAAATAAAGGAGAAACAAAACATGATTTATATACAAATAAAATCACATGTACCCATAATCAGTAGTGTCTAGCGTCAAAGAAGAAAAGCCATTATGACCTCTTTACACAAAAGCAATAAAAAAAAAACAAAAAACTCAAAGTTCTTTTCATTGTCATTTCATACGACTCATTTGCTCAGAGTGCACAAAGTCAGCGCCCGTCACCGACTGGGTTAATGGCTACATTCAAACTCAGACTGAGCGTCACGCTAAATGAATGAAATGACCCTTTCATCTCGACGTTTACATTTCCACTCTGGTTTGTTGCATCTCATCTCACAGTGTTCATTAATTTGAAAACAAAAAAACAAAACAAAACTATTAACAAATAAATAAAAACAGTAAAACCCTCCCAACCACAATCCCTGCCTCTTTTCAAACTAAATCCAGGACTGGACCACATCCTGAAAACCCTGCAGGCGTCAGGAAGCTACAGCGGAGTGCAACTACAGCTTCATCTAGATATTTACGTCCACTGTGTGAAGACACAACCTTGTTTTTCTGATTTAGGTTAGTTAGCATTAGCAAAATCATACCTTATTAGCAACACTGAATAATGAAATGTACACATTTCTTCAGTATTTGGTAAAATAACCATCAAACATTTCTGTTTTTTTTTAGGTTTCTCAGTTGCTGAGACTTTGGTTCATTCCTGCTTTTGGAACTAAAACTCTCTCTCACAAATGGGACTGAAATCACGGGGTTCCTGATGTCTAATGCTAAACACACGGCTGTTTCTAATTGGGAGGTATAATAGGGTGGTTGTCTGTCTGGAAGACTTTGTTTCGTTAAGTGCACCAGCCCCTCCTGCAGTAAACCCTGCAGGAGGGACTTTGTACCTGAGTGCTAGTAGCTCTTCTCCTTTATTCTGAAACAATGGCTTCTTCCTCTGAGCATGGTACAGGTAGCAGAGAACAGAATTAAACGCTTTCATCTTCAACCAGCATCTATACGTGCTATTTTATTATTGTTCTGAGGTTGAATTACACATTTTAAACTTTAAATTTCTGAGAAACTGAACTGTCTCCTTCCTGAACCGTTACCTGATCGCTTCCTTCTAGTGTCGGAGCAGATAAAAGGGCCACTTTCAGACATCTAGAAATTCTACCTAAGGATGAAACACAGTTTTTGAGAACAGCAGTCCTGTTCATGATTTCTCTTAGTTGTTTCATGATGTCACACAAGGAAGCAGAGCTTTTAAGGTGCGTCTTAAACTCCATCCATGTAACTTGGGGGAACGTATCATTATCATCAACTAATGCCTCATTATTCCAGTTAAAACACTTTCAATAATGTTAACTAACCTTAAACGGAAAAAGTTTAGTTGGAATTAAAAAAAACAAACTGTCTTTTCATACAGTAGATGCAAACACCTGGATTCATCTGTAATTTTGTTTTTTCACCATATTCAAGTGGGTTAAATGAAGAAATTTTGATGCTGTTCATGCTTAATTTCAAAAGGACAGATTTTTTTTTAACCAAGTTGTATTTTAGAAGACACCGCCTTAGACACATGCTTGCAGTCCAGTCATATTTTACACACAAATGCATAAATAGAAACAGTACTTCAGCCCCTGTTCTCTCCCTCACACGACGACGGTAAGATATTGCAAAACAACCAAAGTGTTATTTCTGAAAAACCCACAACAGAAACCCCTCTGGGAAAACTTTCAGTCGACTGCTGAACCGATCAGAGGTAAAAAATAAAAATAAAACAAACAAAAAAAAGTCACTGTACAGTGATTCCTGCCAGGGTAAATGAAAGGAGGATGAGTGGATGTTATTAACAGTGATAGTGTTGTAGTGTGGCCTGTGGGTTAGAAGGTCGAGGGGAGCAGGGAAGAGACACACGAGTGGGGAAAGGAGAGGGACGGGCGACTTTCAGTAGTTCTGGCTAAAAAGGTGAGGTAGGCCTTGTCACAACTTAGGAGTGTGGCATTAAAACTGGCAGGGTTGTTTTCTTGTTTTTTCTCCATTTGCAGTCTGTCTGTAGTGTTTGTTTCCTATGGGAGTGTGGTCAGGTTGTGCGTCTCTAGCGCCTCGTTTATTCCTCGCTCACATCTTGACGTCCTCCTCCACACTGAGCTGAGACAGAGTCTTCTTTATGCGCAGAGCTGTCAGTCGGGCCGCTCCGTTGGCGTACCAGCACTCCCGCATGATCTTCCCCATCACACGCAGCGACTGCACAGCAGAGGACACACAGGTCACTTTACATCTCATCCCTAATCTGACTTTTCATATTTAGGAAATACATTTTAATTTACTTCTAGGGGTCACAACAAAACAGCAAAACTTTTTAAAGATAATAACCATTAAATCTGTATTATATAAGATCTTATAAAAACAAAGCTTCGGGCTAGTCTTGAAGTGTTTATTTCTTCAACATTTTGAGTTTTTACGGCACTAGTTGCACGTTTCCTGACAGTAGGCTGACAGGAGAGGGGGTTTGAGAGAGAGGGGGGGGGGACATGCGGCAAAGGACCACAGGACTAAGGCCTGCATAAACGGGTCGTGCGCACCACTTCTCCACCTGTGCGCCCAATTACTTCAACATTTTAATCGAAAGCCACTCAGTCTGCACTTTTCTAGCTAATTTCTTAATTCACCTTCAAACAAATTTAGAAAAATTATTTCTACATTTTATTTCTGACCAAAAAGTCAAGGTCTAAAGTAGCTCTGGACTTTGACTAGGCCACACTGACACAGGACTTATGGTCAAATGTTAAGAAGTAAATATTTTCCTGTCATTTTTTTCCCATAAACTCTGCCAGTCTGAAGTCTTTAGCAGCAGTTAAACGGCTTCTTCCAAGAATTTTCCTGCGTTTTGGTAAATCCATTCTCTCATCGACTATGATCAGTTTCCCATGTTGCTAAGAAGAAGCAGAGCCATCACCTATTTTCAAACAGATAGAGTTTTATCGCACAGCCTTTTGCAAGTTATATTTTGGTCTCTTCTGACTGGAGGACATTCTTTTAGGTTTGCTCTCTGCTCCACATGTCTTAGAGAAAACTATAAGCAGGACTTTTTGTAGCTTTTCTTCATGCCACACATCCAAAAAGAAATTTAAAAGCAACACACTGCTGCTTAAACTTCTAAACCCCCTTCCCACTGACCTATATACGGTTCCTTGGTCTGTTTCATTAATCTTTAGGACTCAAACTATTCCGTTATTGAAAGAATTGTCAACTAATCTGGTAACTAAATTAACATACTACTTATGTGCTGTATTTATATTGAGATGAAAGTACATACAGATGTTTTGCCAAATTAATTGTAATCATAAGATATTTGCCACTGTGGACATTACTGTGATAAGCATTAGTAACTAATAGATCAAAGAGCTTTCATCTAAAGGAGATCAGTCAACTTAACCCCTCTTACGTACAGACTAATTAAAACATAGACCAACTATTCTCCTTTACAGCCTCTATCTATGTAGACAGCCTTCATTCAGCTGTCAGGATGCAAACTGAAATACCTCGTAGCTCTGCCACCAGTTGGGAACGTTGGGCCTCAGTTTCTGGTCACAAACCACCTTCCTCATCTCCTCTATGGACGGGTCGGAGGGCACCAGGTCATAGTAGGGTAGCTGGTAGTCCTCATGTATACCTGTACCACAGAGTGAAGAGTTCTGCTGTTTTCTATTTCTGCTCAGGCTCCGTTAATGTCTCCGTTAAAGGGCTTACCTCCTGTGTTGCAGCGGCGTGCGATCTCCCAGTACACTAGGCCCAGCGCATAAATGTCAGCACACTTAAAGGAATCAAAATGTTTCATGTTGATGGTTTCATCCAAGACCTCTGGAGCCATATACCTGGATGGATCCAAAGGGAAACATTTTGGATGATTATAGTTCCTACACAGTTTTTCTTTCAAAATTAAAAACCTTCAAAGAATCAGATAAGTAGATTATATATACATCCATCATGAATGATGGCAACCTTTTTCTTTTACTCTGGGGGGACTTATGGAAGGTTGTATAAATACACCAACTTATTTTGATCCAAGTCTATAAAGAATATAACAGAGACTCAGGAAAGACCTGAAAGATCAACAGTGAGTCATTGAAAGTGAAGGCGTTACCTCTTAGTGCCCACGCGCTGGTTCGGTGCTATATCGATTGTGTCTGTGATGGACTCGTGGCGAACTGCCAGCCCGAGGTCAGCTATAGCACAAGTGCCGTTCTTCTTAACAAGGATATTTTTAGACTTGAGGTCCCGGTGAGCAATGCCTGGCTTACCTGCAGTAGAAATATAGCAAAGGTCAACTTCAGGCTGTTCTGTTTGGACTAATCTGAAAGGGGCTGAGGCGGACGTTATTCTCACCCTGAGTGCCGAGGATCTCCATGTGAAGGTGTGCCAGGCCGCTTGCAGCTGAAAGGGCCAGCTTGATCATGCCCTCGATGGTGACAGAGTAACGGTTCAAGTAGTCAAAAAGAGAGCCATGCTCGTGATAGTCCGACACCAGCCACAGCTGTGTCCATGTGCCGTTGTCTAAGATGAACCAAAACAGGACAAATTAGATTAACGGATAAATTAACTGAGCAAAACAAACCTTAAACAATAGCTATTGTCCTTTTGTTTTTTCAGACTTTACTCAAGACTGTATTACAGTTTAAATGGAAGCACCTTTATTGTCTGCTGCAATGAATCCCAGGATGTTTTCGTGCCGAAGCATGATTGTCTGGTAGATTTCAGCCTCTCTGAACCAGGAGCGCTCCTCTCTGGAAGAGAAGATCTTCACTGCAACATCTCCTCCTCTCCACTTCCCCCTCCACACCTCTCCAAAACGCCCTTTTCCTATTATTTCCTGCAGCACGATAGTTCTGGCCACTGTCCGCTGCACAAACAGGGGCAGCCCTACAGGGGGCAGCATAGACACACATCAGACACATTGTAGAAAGCAACTACAAGGCAGTGTGTCCTGGGTGTACTGACCGGAACCGGATCCTGAGGTGGACATATCATAGATGAGATCTTGCAGCGTTTTGTCCTTGGCCAAGTACAGGTGGTCACAGGAGGGGTCCTCCACTTCCAGCCTCTGTCTGTGGCTGTAGGCTCTCTGATGATACTGGAAGAGGAACACCCCAACCATCAGCAGCACACAGAGGAGGAACACGGGCCCCGCTATGACAGCAACCAGCTCCACTGGCCCCCAGGAGTTCCCCGAGGCCGACCAGTCCGCAGGCTTTGTCGTTGCTATAATGATCAGAAAAGGAGAATGTTTTAATCAAAACCCACCAACTGGAAAGCTGTCATCTATACTGGGATATGGTCGCACCTGGAGCTTTCAGGTCAACACTGTTGCAGTAATCTTCATAGCAGCAGAGAACGTTGAGGTGACCTTCCGCACTCTTACAGTAGATGGGGGGAGCCATTCGGTCAGAGTTGATGCAGTGCCGCATGGGCCCTTCCACCCCCATCTTATCTTTGAACGTTGAAACGGCGCAGGCGCCATCTGTCTCACACTCTCCACCATCACAGTTTGTGCAGTTACAACGTACAGCTGCAGAAAAGGCAGAAACATACATCAATTTTTTTAGATAGAGTCACAACATTCTAGATTTCTAACCGGTTAGCATGATATCATAATTCTGTCATTCTGCAGCTAAGAAAAATTTTTAGATGGAAAATCTGAAACTTGTGGAGAGCTCTTGTGTTGATCTTCTAGCGGTCGACACTGTAAGACATTGATTAGCTGCAGCAGGAGCTGCATTGCATTTGAGAAAGTCTCTGCCAGCTTGGCAAATCTAGCTCAGATTTAAACAACAGAAGTTACCATAACTCTGCAGAAAACAGACGTATTAGAATGTCACAAGATCAATATGAATTCATTCAAGCTCTGGATAAATGGAGGGAATCACTGCATGGATGAGCCATGACTTTATGCAGCTAGAAACCCCTGATGAGGCCTAAAAGTGAGTGTAGTGATGGACTCAGACCTGAACCTTCAAATGCACATAAAGACAATTCTTAAGCTGGGCTTCTATAAACCGGAAGAACAGTAAAAGACTACTATCTCAGCAGAATAATAAAAAAATTTTTTTTTAAACTCATCGCTGAGTTCAACTTCAACCGAATTAATTACTTCAACAGTGTCTTCCCAGGTGTATTAGATGGCTGTGGTTGATCCTGAATGCTGCTGCACCTGTCCTCACTAAATCTAATGCAGCACCTCAACCCCAGTTTTTAAGCCCTGACATTTGCAACTTGTATATCAAAAAGGATATTTTAAAATACATGTTTATAAATCACTAACAGCAACAAATAAATTATGTTTCGGTAAAACTTTTTTTTATTTTTAGCTGGTTCACTTCTGCTATATTATCACCGAGAAGCTGCTCTAAGATCCAGAAAATACTTGTATCATCCTCAAACAAAACAAGCTTAAATACTTTTGAAACTTTAAATATGCCATCCACGTAGAGAAACAGTATAGGTCCCAATACGGACCCCTGTGGAACACCACAAACGATGTCCCGGCATGATGACTGATAGTAGGTTTCATATCTTGACTGCTACTTGACTTCTAAAGCTCACTGGGCTATTTTCAAAACAAAAGGCATACTCATACTTCTTAAGACCTTTCTCAACTTTCATAATGCCTAAACTGCTCATATTGAGATCAACCAACATAAAAGTCATGCAGGATGAAATGGATGGGGGAAAAAATGGAAACTAAACTATGCCATGTCTGAATATGTTAGATAAAAATAGCCTAAAAACAGATGTTTTCATAGAAAACTTCTCACTTTTTGTGTAATGAAGAAAATAATTATAAACTGTAATTACATCTTTAGCAAGTTTAGTAAGCAACTAAGAAGTTATAGATATTTAAACCGCAAAAAAAAAAAAAAATAAGGAAGTGGTCCTTAAGCCTAAAATGTAATGCAGGTTTTGCAGCTCAAGACAATTTCATTCCTGATTTTATTTATTTATTTAGGAGCGTTACAATACAAGGGATGAAAAAATGAAAACCATGTATCACTTTACAATTATTCTTTATTCAAGACATAACATCTCACAAAATTAATTACAATAAATATGAATTATTAGAGTTTGAAGCATAAAATGTGAAAAAGGTAGGAGGTATAATCATTTATCAAGTATATGTACACACTTTTACCAGCAGGGGGCCAAGTCACCCCACCATGAGAATACATGTTACCTAGTGGGGATGTTCACTTGTGGGCATTTTGTGATGTGTAGATCATAATCATCATCATCAGCAGCAGCAGCAGCAGCCAGACGGCCCCAGCGGCCCTGAAATCAGATCTCTCACTGCAGATGAACCCAAACACATAGAGTGGAGACACACCCGCCCAGAGGGACACAAAGTGAAACCCAACAAGGGGAGAGAGAGCACCTCGGCCAAATCCCAGACGCAGCAGAAGGTCTTTACTGTGGAACATAAAGCCGACTGTTGAAACTGAACAGAAGAGTTCAGGTAAATGCAAAATTCCCCTGCAGAGGTACCAGTGAACAGGGACACAGTGGATCTATTGCCACGGTAAACCTAAGGTGGTCCATGCACACACTGTGAAATCAGTGCTAGAGAGTCTGCAACATCTAAGGCAGAAAAACTGTTTTCTGAGGTTCCCAGCCGGCTAACAGCCACAAACTGATTAGATTTGGAGAGCAATGTGATTCTGAATCATGGCACACATGCTTCTCATTTCTGTAAGGTCAACACAAAGGGCTTCCTCCAAATAAATTTGCTACTTCACTGCAAAGAAAAGCCCACTAACGGGAAGGTATGAGTAACCTTTTCTCTTAAAACATGGTAAAACACAATTACAGGCCCAGAGAGATACTTGGTAGAAGTAAAGGCATGCCTTAAGTCACTGCATTTTAAACGATCCCCAAAACAACACAGGACAATCCAAAAAGAGGAGAGGAATTTCAATCTTTATTCTCCAACAAAAACAGGACTCAGTTGGTGTGATGGCTCACAATATCTGGCCTAGAGGGAATAACCAGGGTTCAAGAGCAGCAGGACACCACTAATCCTGTGTTTATATCTTTGGCTAGATGAGCTCATTGATGTTCCCTTTGAACCAACTTTGTCTGTACAAAAAGGTGTTGGTAGATGTTATTAGCCTTTAGGAACATAATTAGGCAGGTATGGACTGGTTTCTAGTATCAAGATGTAGTATGGTTTTAAAATTATAGCTCCAAAAAAATACCATACGAAGTTTAACTGTTCCATCTGAGATTACACCAAAATATGCCTCAATTACACTACCCCTCTGAAACCGATTCGTGCAGAGTTCGGACCAAGCTTGGATCAGGTAACCATGCCGAACTTGGTTCTTACGACCATTTATACATCAATCTAGCACGGTTCCTCGCCTCCTAGCTCTCAAGGCATGAATAACGCAAACTAGGGCTGGGCGATATAGAAAAAAAGCTTATCGATAAAAAAAAATGCATATTGATCGATATCGATAATTATTGAAAAGATTTGAAACCATATTTTATGTGCAGCTCTGCCTGGACTTTTTATAATATTGCTAAATGATTTAATTTTAATAAAAAACACAAACACAGACTTCGAATTAAATCTTTATTTAACCAACTTTTTTAACCATAACAGAATTGTTTTAAAGAAAAATAACTTAATAGACCTGAGTTATGTTATTAAATACTGACAAAGAATAAACTAAAGTGACCAGAAAAGTGACCAAAATAAATATAACAAATAAATAAATGCCCCCCCACCGCCGCTGCCGCCGCCGCCCCCGTTTCCTGCTTTAACCTGAGTTATCACTTTGAAGTTTCTGGCCCCTCAGCATTTTTATCTCAATTGTTAGAACTACGTGGGAAACTGCCCAGAACTGAAAATATATATATATTTTCCGAAGATTCCTCGGAGGAGAGCCGCACCGGGGCCTAAACAGCTCGTACTCCTGCGGCTGTGAGCGGCTGAGATGAAAAAAAAAAAGTTGGTTTCGTTATCAGACTGGTTTTCACTGGTTCCCGACACATTTTCTAGATGACTGTGGTTTGTTTTTGGTCCGACTTGCCATGACCGAAATACTGCCAAACTGCCGAACTACAAAAACCTTTCTTTGAAACAATTTCCTCCGCCTCTCCTTGCTGCATCTTCATGTGCTCTGTGTTGTGGTTTGAGAGGGCGGCGCTTGGTGACGGCGTGCCTGGGTCCGCGATTGTGATTGGTTGGGAGGAAGCAGTGACTAGCATAAACCTACATGCTAGGCTACAATGAGAAGGAAGGAAAACTACGTTTCTTCGTCTATCGATCGATATATATTGTTATTGAATTATCGCCCAGCCATGACGCAAACAAAAATGGCGGAGCCCACAACATTCAGGAACTTATGTGCTTGAAAAGCATCCTCCACCCAAATTTCAATGACAGCCTTGGTCTCTGCATAATCACAGGTGGCACCACGCTCTTTTGATGCCTTTTATTGTTAATGGGCTGAGAAGAAATACGTTTTGTGAACAGATGAAGAGATCTGTGAATTGCAAAGCTGGACACCCCAGAAAACCTGAGAAATTATTCAGCTGATTGTAAACAGAAGATGATGCGGTTTGCTCATGCGCTCTTTGTTATCAGAGATCCGAGCTACAACTGAAATATGCTGAGCCTACTGTTGTAATTAGGAGCGGTTCGGTTGTGTCTGGCACGGTCCAGTTCAATTGCTTTCCATTTACACTCAACAGTCATAACGGTTAGCGTGCTCAGACTGTTCTCGGCACAGATTCAAAAAGGCTAGTGTAAATGGGGCTTAAAATATATGGTTTTGATCAATTGTATCTGAAATCCAGAAATTCATTATTGGACCATAGAACAACACAGCACTGCCCCTTCCCCACCCGTTGCTGCCAATGCAGGCCACCTGTTTGGGTTTTTCACAACCTAAAGTATTTCCAGTCACAATGTAGCCTTAAACCTCCCATTAAGTGTCTTTAAAACATGAATTTAGCAAACAATGAGTGGAATTTCAGTAGCTGACTGCAGATAGACTGACTAGTAAACCAGCTAATATCTATTTACTAGAAATGCCTCGCTCTATAAGGAGCAAAATTCTCCCAATTAAGGCCTTGAACTACAACTAAATCTAACATGTTGTATGATTGTAGCTGCAGAAGGAGTGATTGATACCTTAAATGCCGTCACACACCCTCAGCTTAGATTTTGAGGAACTTAACGAAAAGCATGAAGCCTTGTAGCTTTTAGCCTCTGGCAAAAACTTGCACATATTCCTGAGGTTGAACATTTTTTTAACCAAACCCGATTGTGTCATCATCCAATAACTAAACCGGCAGAGGAGTGGTTTCCTCTATGGTAACCTCTCAGAGGAGAATGTGACCGGTCTGATGCAGTGCGTTTGCTGATGTGCCCGTGCTTGTTCGCTGATAGTGCCTGGAAACGTGAACCATGGGAGAAAGGTTTCGTAATATTTCTCCTGTGCTGAGCAATAGTTTGTGTTTATGAGAGTGAATGTTATTATTTAGGCAGTTAAGTGGGAAACGTGC